TCCTGCTGATGCTCATCCGAATGCCTATAAAAATGTTGTTCGAGGAACTATTACCTCACACTTTGCATGGACAACCATTTCCTCTGATTCATAACCTTCTAGAACAGCTACTGTCAACTGAGGTATAATCTATCTCCTAGGTTCAACTCCAATAGATGGCGTCTCTTCCTTGCTGGCTAGCAGCTGATACTCCTCTTTTGTGTCCTCACTCTCTTTCATGTCTACTGTGTCATTGTTCATTTCTTTAACTGCCCCCTGATCTATGAAAAAAATTGTTCCCCTGGTTGTGCAATCTGATGCAATATGCCCAAATCTGTTTCAGTTGCAATACTTCCTGACCGAGATGGATTTGAGAATACAGATTAGTGCCCTTTTTTCTCCCCTTTAAACTAACGTCTTCTCAAGAAGGGTCATCTTGGATGTTCCCTAGGTGTACTTTAGCTGTATGATCCTTGGGTTGAACCCTACCTGTAAGATGTGGTGGTCGCTTGACAACGTGGTTTCGCCACTTTTGAAGCTAGGGTCTAAACATTCAGTCTGTAGTGAGGTGTTAGTAATTGATGTTGCATCTCTTATTTCCTCTTGGACCATATAATAATTTTGTTTTTTTCCCTCACGTTGACATAGGTACTTCAGATTTTGACAGCAAATAATCCACTCTTCTTCAACTTGCGGTGACTAGCTTCACCACTCCGTCTTGTGGGACATTCGGTCACTCAAAGACATATTTCAAGGTTCATAGTCACTTAATGAGTTTGTCCTGATCCATGTGATCATCGAAATATGACAAATCCACTTGTATTTCAAAATTTTGGCTTTTCAGGTATTTTAGGTCATATCTTCGATATAGGGATCCTTCATCCCTGGAATTCGCATGGTGGAAGAGATTTACTCCTTTCATTTGATGTAGCAAGTCACCATTATAGCTACGAATGAACCATCCAGATTGCCTCCTCTCGAAGTTGGTAAGCCTCAGTTGTAGTTTGCGGGTTTTCCATTGCATCTCCTTCTAAAAATTTATTGGACACCTTTTTGTGAATTTCTCATTAACGGTATTGTGCCCTTTCCTCTCAATCAGCCTTCCGACGATTATCTCCTTGGCGACATGAATAAGTTTTGGGTGTGGGAGATGTGTAAGGGCGATATAGGGTGAGAAAGAAAGAAAAAAATTAGATGAAGATATGTTTGGGTATGATAGGTGCTAGAAGCCTTATGATAGGAGTAGGATTAGACTAGCTATGATAACAAATAACATCGGAGTTAACCCAAACAATAATAGAAAAAATAAATATTATTACTGGAAGCAATTAGACAGTTACAATCAAACACACTTGAGAGAGAAAATACAACACACTACACATAAAATTACGTTAGGGTGGGGCTCTCGTGATGGTGGTGACAGTTATAGGGCTTGGTGAGATAATGACAAGATAAGGAAGGGCTTTCCGAGCTGTGGATGAGGAGTGTCCGCGATTATGGGTGGCTGGAACAACAAGACAACAAGGGGTGGCAACCCAAACAACAGTAGTTGGCTGTTTGGTGCGGCTAGACAGCAGGAAAACAACAAGGGGAGGCGTTGCGACAATGACAACAAGCTGGAATGAGGGAAAGACCTGGTCCGGTGGCTTGAACTATAGAAAACAAACCAGACGGTTGTTTTCGGTTTCCGGGCGGTGACAGCTAGCAAGAATGGCAATGACAACGACTGTGAAGGAACGAGACTGTGGGATCGTCAAAGGAGGACTATCCAGGGGTTGTGACAATGAGAAGGATGGCTGGACGACGAGAAACTACAGGAAGACATCAACAGGACTGCTGTCAGGGCGACTGCAATGAGGAGGAAGGCATGCTAGCGAAGCGATAGGGATGCGGGAAAGGGTAAGGAAGATAATCACCACTTGAAAACCAATATACAATTGAAGCACTATTTGAAATCCTAGGATATAACCCTTAAAAGGAAGAATAGACGCCGGTGGTTGTCTCAATACAAAACACAAAAAAAAAGCTATTCCTAAAACATCGATAAAACAAATATACTAACGGGATAACAAGGAATGGCCTAAGTGGACTGGTAAACTGACTGCGACAAAACCTGGGGACTGATTTGGTTGAGGCATAAAAATGACGCTTGCATTGGATCGCGTAAGAGGGGGGGGGGGGGGGGGGGGGGGGGATTTTTACTCTGTATTGTGCCACTGCAAGTGCACATTTCATTATCAGTGTTTATTAGTTATTTACTCTGCTGATAGTTTTTGTCAATCTAAAATTTTTAATGCAAAATTAAAATGATCTATCCATTTTTCTAAATTTCATATAGATTCTGGTTAGATATCTATTAAATTGATTAGTTCATGAGAAATTGATGGAACTTTTGAGATTTACGATATATAAGCATGAAAATTTCACCCATTGCTGTAATCAACTTAATGCAATGATTTTCTGGATGGAAATTCCTTTATCAATAGATAAATCTATTATCTCTTGCTATGATTTTGAAGAAGGTAAAAATGAAATCACTAAATTATAATAATTGTCCTGATTTCCAAATAAAGCTGAATGATTGTTTTTTAATCATAATTTGCTATTATGTTTTTCTTCTTTTGTATTGCCTCTCGCTGCTATAGTGGGTATTCTTACTCAATTATTTCATTGCTTTGTATAATCAAGGTCTTATCTACTGCTCCCATTGTATATATTTTTATAATTTATTACAGGGAAATCAGAAATTTGCTATAATCAGAGGCTAAAGTTTACAAGGTCTAGGATAGCAGTGCCCTGTGTCGAGTCTCAATGTTTTTACCACAAACAAAGCCTTTCTTATGCTAGACGGCTTCGACTTGGTACACTGATTTGTGCTTCTGCTTTGGTATGTGCCCCTTTATCCTTAAAAAGAGTTGAAGCATATACGTGTTTCTTTGTTGTGGCTGTTAGAACTTTTTTCATTCATAAAAGTTCAAGCATATTGTTGTTTCCATATGTTCATGTTGGTACATGTATATTCATACTTTGCGTGTTCAAGATTTCACACAGATACAACTTGTTCTACTTTAAAAATTTGTAGCCTCTCTGATCACGTGAGATTTAATATAGCTTATACCGGAATTAACCCAAACAATACTAGGAATCAAATATTATTACTGAAGAGCTTATAGGTGATTACAACTGACACACGGAAAGGGAAATAACAACAATAGACATAGACAAACACAACTAAAGCTGCATCCCAAGGGGTGGTGGCAGGTTTGGTGGGTTAGATGGATGGAGGTTGGTTGTAGTGGAAGATGACAGTGGAGCAGCAGGTGAGGGGAAGATGCTGTCCTTGGGGCAGCTGCAGCAGTTATGGTGAGAGCGGCAGCGGAGGGAAGGTTGCGGAGGAATGGGAAAGTCTTGGATAATCACCACCTCAGAACAAGATACAAGCCAAGCACCACTCTCCCTTGGATGCAACCGTAGAAGGGAAAACCTGGAGATGTTGACGGCTATCTTGATAGAAAACTCAACCAAAACAAAAAACCTAAAACATAGGAAGGAAATATATGCCCTGGATAATTAGGATTGGGCCTACCATTTAAAGGAGGTGCCAAACCTAAGAGGAAGAGCCAATCAACTCTCCGCGCTAGAACGCGGGTGGGGACTTCTGCGCCCCTCTCCCCATCAATACCTATATCCTTTTTCCACTTTCCAAAGCTTTAATTGCTCCGTTCACCCTAGAACAGTGTTTTTTTCTTACCCAATTTTTTTAAGAAATTAACTAGTTATAGTTTCGAAATTTTTTAACCGCTGGAAGGTTATAATAAATTCTTGTAACAAAAACATGTGGCTGTTTGGAGACTGGCTGGTGGCTGGGATGGGTGGCGGGAGGCATGGGGCTGAAGGAAACTGCAAAGATGCTGCCCTTGGGGCAGCTGCAGCAGTTATGGCGATAGCGGCAGTAGAGGGAAGGTTGCTGAGGAATGGGAAAGTCTTGGATAATCACCATCTCAGAACAAGATACAAGCCAATCATCACTCTACCTTGGATTCAACCGTAGAAAAGAAAACCTGGAGACGTTGACGGCTATCCTGATAGAAAACTCAACCAAAACAGAAAACCTAAAACATTGGAAGGAAATATATGCCCTGGATAATTAGGATTGGGCCTACTATTTAAAGGAGGTGCCAAACCTAAGAGGAGGAGTCAATCGACTCTCCGCGCTGGAAGGCGGGTGGGGACTTCTGTGCCCCTCTCAAGCCCCATCAATACCTATATTTTTTTTCCACTGTCCAAATCTTTAATTGCTCCATTCACCCTAGAACAGCGTTTTTTTACCCAAATTTTTTAAGAAATTAACTAGTTATTGTTTCAAAAATTTTTAACCACTGGAAGGTTGTGTGTGTGTGTGTGTGTGTGTGTGTGTGTGTGTGACTGTAATAGTGTTGAACCGATCACGAATGACCCGTGAAGTTGTGATTTAATTTATTCACTTACATTGTAGTACTCTAACTTTGCTTCACTGAAAGCTACACTAGAGTGGAATTACTCTAAAAAATAACAAATCTTTCCACAAAACATTTATGTTCACCAAAATGAGTGCAACTGTAATAGTGTTATGTTTTTTGTAAATTGTTTATTTTTGTTGTTTACATTGATATTTTGATGCAAGTTTCCATTAATATGAATCTGCTATATTGTTTCGGATGGGTTATTTCCCTCCACCTTCCCCACCTCTAGTACCCTCTGTCCCTCATTTTTTACTGTCTGCTTCGGTCTATCATCATTCCCCTTCCGCCTTGAAAGTTATTACCTGTCCTTTATTTTTTGGGTTTTGTTTTGTTTTGTCTATTCAAGGATGGCAAAATGTTTGATCATCAGGTAAAAGCAACATATTCCTTTCATGTGGCTACAGAGTAATGAGGCGTATGTTTTATTTAATAAGCACTTTGAATAAGTTATGCATAATTTTGCATTATTTAATGTGATCACAGTTAACTTAGAAATAATTTGAAGTGATAATAATTAATGTATATTAAATATAATTGAACTTTATAATATTAAATTATGAATTTTGTTGAATTTACTATTAGCAAAGGATAAGGGTTATTATTTAGCATAACATTTCTTTTATTAGATTTAGCATATATGGAATAATCATAATTATGTTAAGGGATTCAAAAAATAAATTTGACGCATTTTTGATTAAATTACTTTAAAATATCATAGCATGTAAATTTAATTATGTACAAATAAAGTAGCGTCAAGCAATTATTATAGATAAGTTATTATTGTGTATAAACTATATTTATTATTTAGTAGTTATATTAAATTATCATATCTTACGTTTAAAAGTATTCTCTGTATTCATAATCAGAAAAATTAGTATTCTTAATATGATGTTATGATTTAAATAAAATTTTTATGAGGTTTAATGAAATCTTTCTTATAATTAATGTTTATAATAGTAAGTAGTTATCACTTAATGATAATATAGAGCAGATTTACTAAAGTGGTGTTTTAGAAGCAAGTGAAAACACTTGGCGGGTATTTCATGAACTCCTAGAAACTAGCTAATTATCATTAATTTTTTTACATCTGAAAACAGCATGAGATGAACATATTTTTTATGTTTGTCTTTTCTTTTCTCACAACAGAAAGCAGATTAAAGAAAAATAAAACTATTTCCAAAGATAATCTAAAGATTTATTTGATGATGCTGCATCAGTTTTGTTTTGTGCTTTCCTATTTTTGGAAATAAAGTTTCTTTTGCTTTCACCAACTTTTGCAAGTTCCTCCTCAAATTTTGAAGTCATATACAGGGCTGTAATTGAGCCAAGTATTTCCTGGAGTAGATATGGCTTGGCTATATTATAGGTTGTTTAATTTTGACTGGAGCTTAAGATGAGCTTTCAATTACATGTTCATACTTGGCTTGATTAAAACTTTTAAAAATTGCCCTTGGCTTGTAATTGATTTGTTTATATTAATTGAATGAGTATTCCAACAAGTGAATAAACAAGCTAACATTTTAATAAGTACTTGGATTTTTATAAATTTATTAACAAATGATTTTACAAATTAAAATTATTAAGCAATTGAATAAAATTTGAATTAATATCCAACTAGTTTACATCAATTAAATTAAATAATAATAAGTTACAAGTAAGCTTTGGTAGAAAAATTAGGATGGGATTTGGTTAGGGTCTTGGTAGAAAAATATTATGGAGATGATATGGACATGTAAGGGATGATTGGGAAAGATTTCACATAAAGAAAAAAAATTTAAAAAAACAAAACATAAAAATATAGTGATAAAATGATATCACTCGTTAAAGTAATAGAGGTGTGAAATATCACTAAATCTCCACCTTTTGGTCGGTCACCATACCTCCAATTTTCAAATAAGTATCAAGTAATAGAGGTGTGAAAAGGTCAGATTGCAGCTAGAAAACTCCCACCGCATCTAGCCATGAGCGGTGGGAAAATGCTGGTTTCAGCGGGAGCATTTTGAAAAAGCTGCCAAAATACAGTTTACCCAAACGACCAAAGCAGCGGTGCGGTGCTGCACCGCTGCGTCAAATGGAGCCTTAATCTTAGCAATTGGGGCAAAAATCTCTATGTAATCAATGCCATAGGTTTGTCTGAAATTTTTTGCCTCACATCTATATTTTGGCCGACTCTTTTGTGTGCTTTGTATTTCATATTAAAGATTCATTTGCATGCAACAATTTTTTTTTCTTTTAGAATATTTGATACTTTCAAGTACCATTTCTTTCCAGTGCCTTAATTTGTTCATGAATTGTATTTTCTTATTAAACTTGAACTTTTAAAGAACCTTGAATAATTTTTGACATTTTCAGGCTAGTAAGATTTGTAGTATATGCATATAAGTTAGGGGATAATTTATTATATGAGATATTAGAACTGATTGGGTGTTTGGAATTTTTTCTAAGAATAACAATGGCCATGTTAAGATTTTCATCATTATCAATTTTACCTTGCCCTTGCGAATTGATGTTAGGAATTGGTTCATGCATTGGGTTAGGAAAAATGCTTTTTTTGATATGCCAGTTAAATTTTCCTAATGCTTGGAACAGATAAATTGCTTTATACTTTTCTTATTGTGCATATTTTTGAATAATTTGGATTCAAATGGTTGAGATTCAAGCAGGTTTGTAAGCGGTATAGGTCGAGTGATTAATAAGGTAGGGTTGGTATTATTGTAAAACTTATACTCATAAAGAGAGTTCATGTTCCCACTTTGAATTGGTGTTTGTGAAAGAAGGATTGATTTTCAAACAATGTTACATCTATAATAGTAATCATTTTAGTATTGGGAGAATATTATTTATAACTTTCTTGGTGATAAGAGGAACTGATAAAAATATATTTAGTTTACTTCTTTGATGAGGAGGAATATGCGTAAAGCCAAAGTAGCCAAACACTTTGGTTGAATGATGCTGATAAGTCTATTTGTGAGATTAGGCATGGATGGGGGTTTGATAAGGAGTTTTGAATTTTAGAATTTTAGAATTTCTGATAATAAATGATTATTGAGCTACGCCTAATAATTTTTGGGATAGTGCTAGTGATCATAATTGATCAAACAATGTATGTGTTTTTTTAATGCAATCCCATTTTATTTTGTTTTAGATGCAAGAAATTTGGGGAACATTTTCTCGTTAGAGGAGATATTCTCCAAGAATGGAATGAAAATATTTTTTTCCCATTGCCAGCTCTATAACAACAACAACAAGCCTTTGTCCAACTAAGTGGGGTCGGCTACATGAATCCTTTTTCTCCATTTTGTCTTATTGAGTGTCATTTTTTTATTTCATTCTAATAAATTAAGATCGTTTTTTATACAACACGCCCAAGCCTTATTAGGTTTATCTCTACTTTTCTTAACATTCAGTGAAATTTAAAACATCTAGTCTCCTAATAAGGTCAGATCTTCGATGTTTAACATGACCAAACCATCTAAGTGGACTCTCTAATCTTGTCTGTCGCTGAAGCTACTCCAACTCTTTCAAGGTTATATTCGTTTTGCATTTTGTCTCTAATTGTAAAATCACTCATTCACTTGAGCTTTCTCATTTCGGCAACACTTAATTTAATACTTATCTTTTACAAACCAACATTTTGCACCATGAAGCATTCAGGCCTCACCACCATTTTATAAAATTTTTTTGTCTATCGTACAATAGCTCTGAAGCATTTCTCTACTTCAACCATCCGACTTGAATTCTACTAATAACATCCCGTTCAAGTTTACCATCACATCACTTTGAACAATAAACCCCAATAAACCCAATATATCTAAAACATTCACTCCTTTTAATGACTTGATCACCAATTGTTACATCCTTTCAACCAGATCTACTACTAAAATTACATTCTATGCATTCACTTTGAGATTTATTCAAATGTAAGCCTTTAGATTCTAAAGTTGTCACCTCCATAGATATAGCTTTTTCTGAACTCTCTCTCTAGTCTTATCCGCAAGATGTATATCATCAACAAAAAACATACACCATGGTACCTTCTGTAATTGTTCAATGAGAACGTTCATAACTAAAACAAAAAGATATGGGCTTAAATTCGACCCCCGATGTAATCCAACCGAAATAAGAAAATACTTGTCAAGCTTCCTTGTGTTCGAACACAAATAATAACTCTAGTGTATATATTTTTAATGAATTGAATATAAGCAATATCAACACATTTCTTGTTTAGAACTCTCCAAAGTATTTCTGCTTGAACTTTATCATAAACTTTTAAACAAAAATCATATGTAGTTCCTCTTTATTTTCTTAGTACTTCTCTATCAAACCTCTCAATAAGTGTATAACTTCCATAGTAGATTGGCCTGACATGAATCCAAATTGATTTTAAGGAATTTTTGTAACACGTCGTAACCTATGTTCAATTATTCTCTTCCATAATAGACAATGTATAGCTTACCATTGTCAGCTCTGAGGACTTAAAATTGGGGTTGGAATTGAGTCTTTATTGAGTGGAATATTTTTCAAACTAAATTGGTTTCGGACTTATTTTACATGGGAAAGATCTAACTGAATCTATTGCAGTCATAAAAAAATACATATAAACCATCTCATGCATAATATATTAGTGTATTTATATGATTTGTAAGTGCAAATGAAACACCTTAGGATTTTTATTGACACAAAGAGAAGAACGAACTTTTTATGCATATGAAATTTGGATGACCAAGTCATAAGAATGCCACAGTATGATTGTGCTTTCATCAAAGGAGGATACCTACCGAGAATTTTCTCTTTTGGCTTTCAGGCTGTCCATAATATAGATGGTAGAGAAACAATTTTTTTGCCTGGTTGATTTAACGAGTCCCTATCTTGGAAATCACATTAATTAGAAAGAAAATTAATATTACAATTTATTTTTTCGGGGTAATGTTGCAGATTGATTATAGATGACTGGAATGCTAAAGAACCAAGAGAACTAAGTTAAGAATTATAGAGCTAGAGATATTGATGGCAGGTCATTGCGATGTTGACCCATTGCTAATTTTGAGGGTATAATTTTTTAAACATGGATGAATGGTTTAAAATAATAAGATATCCATTATCATATTATCATTGGAGTCCACTATTTATGATTGTGGACATTGAAGGCATTTGAAGCCAATTAGTTTGAATGGGTAAGTGATGGCTTGGAGAAAGTTTCTTAGAGATTAGTTTTGTCATGTGATCTTAATTCATAGCAGGAGTTGGCACCTAAGGAATATCTTCTTCCAAAGCTATTTTATTTTTAATCACCCTCCTGATTCAACGAAAAAAATCCTTAGAGGAAGGATTAAAAAGACATGTAGTACAATGAGTGTGTGGAAGATACAGTAGTATGGAAAAGAGATAATAATGAATAATTAAGGATAGCAAGGTATGACCACCGATTCAAGATGGTCATTGCTTTATTGCATGCGAGACATTCTAAGCTTCGACACAAGCTTCCGAGTTCTGAGACATTGCTTTGACTCGAGATATGCTTGATGTTTTGGCTTCCACGTATATTGTGCGTTACAGCAAAATAATTGAGAAGTCTTTGACTGATGTTAAAGAAGGCAAGGGCTCTATTGGACTCAATTAAATTTGAACCATTCAATCCAAAATCCTCTTTCTCCTTTATCAATTAAATCCCAAATATTCAATTGCATCGTTGGATTGTGAATCACAATCCCTTCTTTACACTGTTGGTCTTGTGATCATGCCCCCATTGATTCCTTCTTGGATGAGCTTTCGTACCGTATCATGATGCTTTCAATTGCTGCTTTCAAGATCCCATTTCTACTGAGCTCTTATTGTGACTTCATCTACTGCTTATTCAAACCCCATTCGCTCATGTGCCTTTTTGCAACTTCTGCACCAAGCTCCCTTCATGACTTCCTCATGATTTTGCAATGACCTCAAGCTCTTGAATCAAGCTGGAGCTTGGCAATATAGGGATTAGCTAACTTCACGCTCAATGTTTGAGTTTGATTTTAGTTTTAGTTTGAGTCTGTTTTCTTACAAACAAATTAAGCTTGAGTTGGCTGTGATTTAAGCTTGACTTAACAAATTATAGGTGTTGCTTTTATTCTTCTACATGTTCAGAATCATTTTTAATATATTTTGCTAGAGTTCTAGTGTTTTCTAAAATTTTTATGTACTTATTCTGCAAGTGCTACATTTTTTTGTTTGTATTTTTAATCAATTATACTATGTTTAAAAAAAATGTGTCATGCACTATGACTCTTGTGCAATGGTGTGCAATTCGCCATTGGCAATTATGGGAGGATGAAATTAGTTGGGGTGTAAGCTGGATTGTATTCGAGCGTGTAGAAGTTGCAGCAGGCGTTGGCATGGGCTGGCTACACGGATTTGTTGGTTGTTGCTAGTGGCTGGAGTAGAATTTCACAATATGTCCACTCTGAAATGATTGCTACATTTTTCTTTTCAATAATGGTGCCCACTGTTGAAATCTACCTTTAGTTCGTGTGGCAAAATGGTTAGTCTATGTATGAACTTCAACCCGCAAAATGGTTACTGTACGTTATGTATGTTAAGTTCATGTGCTTGGCTACCGAGAGAAGATTAATACCAAATTCGAAGATCTAGTGATTGAGACAACACTTCTTTTGAGGGAATTCCCATGCAAATAAAAAGTTGATAACTAGGAACTTAATTATGTATGAATCAAGGCATTTTATTAGAAATGAGAACTTTGAGGATCTGTTTCTTAATTTTAAAATAACTGTATGCTCTTATAGAACTCGTCGAACTATTTAGAATTTTTTTTGTCTCTCCAAATTCAATTTATTAAGACATAAAGCCATTTATTTAAAATAGTTTTACATCATTTTGAGTGTTGATAGATTTATTAGAATGTAGGATTTTGTATATAACTGAATTTTATACACCATTTTTGATTTCTTATACACTTTAATCTAGTTGATGGTTTTAATTTGTTGGGCGGGGCTCCCACAAGCATCTCACCTGGTTGGATCAGGCTTGACGTTGGATTGAACTTACTAGATTATCGATCAGACATTATATCATGGAATTTGCCTCTACCTTCTCGTTTCTTCCATGGCCCCAAAGTTTCCTGCTGCTATTGCTGGCTTTTTTACTTTTCCGGGAGTGTAGCTTTTTTTTATATAAGAATTAAACAATAATGACAACTCGGATTCATTTGTTTTTTTCATTTTTAGAAAACTTGTTTTAAAAATAATGATTTTAATTTAATTAATTGGCTTTGTTTCAATGAATGAAAAATATAGGCTGAAATACTTCATTCAATGTTTACAGTCATACTCGACCCATAAATTTTTAGTTTTTTAAATCGGTTCTTCAACTTTCCCTCAATCCAAACAAAGACTTTGCGTATGAAAATGAAATGAATTACTTAATGATAGTTTCTAACTTCATTTAACTAAATGATGGATTTAATAAATTTCTCCGTTTTCAGCACGTGCCTCCTAATTTCAAGCAGCCAGATTGTCTTCTTTGCTCTTTTCTCTTGCAGCTTTTCCTTGTAGCTTCAAAGGGCAATGTAGCGACTAATACTGATTCTTCTTACCGCAGAACGCGAAATGTGCGGCAGAGCAAACACAGACCGTTCAACGTCAATCTACCACGATCACTAATGCTCCCTTACAAAGTAAGCATCGTCGCACATTCTATATGGCAGACATTTTCATGGCCGATTGCTTTCATTAAAACATGACATCCCTTTTTTTTTTTTTTCTAATTAATGTTACAATTTACATTAAAGTGGTCTGTGGTAGGCTTGTCACCAATTAAAGCACTTGTTTTGTTCAGATAAGGAGAAGTCACCAGAGCTTGATGATGGTGGCACCGGCTTCCCTCCGCGGGATGATGATGGCGGCGGCGGCGGTGGAGGCGGCGGAGGACCTAATTGGTCTGGTGGTTTCTTCTTCTTTGGCCTGCTTGCATTTCTAGGCTTTTTGAAGGACCAAGAAAATGAAGGACCATACAGGGATAACAACAGAAGATAAAAGAGAGAGATATAGTTTTCACTTTTCTATCAATACCATATATATGTATTGTTTTTGTTCTGTTATTTTCTGCAGGGATATGAATTTTAATCATAAAATATTTTTCATTGAATCTGAATGATTTACTTCCGAGTCATGATTGATTCTCCTGTAATGGACCAATGAGCACTAAATATGAACCTTGCTTATTTTAGTTTATATATGTAAATATAAACCGTTTCAATCATCGGTTCTCTTCCACAACCTTGATGTTTGACAGCTTTGTGGATGTGAAGCAATGCCCGGCTGGCTTGCTTACTGTTTGATCTGAGTATCTCATGCAAGCAGCGCTTCCTATTAATGATAGAATATAAATTGTTTAATAAGACTTCACTACTATGATAATCCAATAATGGGATGCTATATAAACTATGGCTGCATGGCATGATGTGGCTACAGATTATTTAATACCAAAATCAAATGTTAAATACATAAAGACATGAAAATTGTGTTGTATGTACGTGAATCCTCACACACATACAGATGTATATATGATGTCATCACTGTGCAACTAAACTGTGTCACCGAAATAGAACTCACAACAACAGAATGACTTCAAAAAGAAGCCTAGAGAATATTATAATTGAAAGCTAAATAATGAATCAAGGCTCAAAACAAGGAAGCTTCCGGGATCTGAACTTTTCATACTACTAGGTTAATTTTGTGGGAAAAAAAAGGGGGATTAAGAAAAGGTGGTACAAGAATTCTTCGAGCATCCATTAGCAAAGATCCATGTGATCTTGCATGCCTTCATTCTTAAAATTAAGGGTGTTAAATATTGACCTGATAAGCCAAATTCGACTCTAACACAACTCAAAAATTGGGGTTTGGGTTGACCTAATTAATTTTTAAGTTTGGGCTCGTATATAGAATTGGAACATCTTTAATTTTTAAGGTTAGATTTTGGTTGACTCGCAACATGAAATTGATCCAAATTTAATCCACCGACTCGAAATTAGCTCCAATTTGACACAAAGTTGGATTGAATTTGACCCAAATAGTTATTATACATATATTTAATGACTTACGAGAGTTAGGTTTGGGTCATTCAAGATAATGCTAGTCGGGTTTAGGTTAGACTTTATGACCAATTTAATATTCAGGTTAGGTTCAGATTAAATGGTTTTGGGTCAGACCAAAACCAAGTAGTGAGCCTAATTTGACACCCCTACTAAAACCATCATTACTGTTTATCAATAGATGATATCCTAATCCAACGAGCATCTCTGTTGTTGCTTCCCCTGATCATTTTCGTGAATTTGAATTCTAAACTAAGCCTGTAATATACGATGATGAAATGTATCTCCCATTGCAGCCAAAGTAAACTTTGACACCACTAAAGTCCTTGATGGCCTGCCATAAGCCTTAGTACTCCAAAAAAAAAATAAAAAATAAAGCTGCACCTGAAATCAACAAAGCAATCATCATGGTATATAAGCAACTGCTTAAAACATAGACATCCGAGTTGAGATACAATTGAAGTTTTACAAGTAGTTGAAAAATTAAAAATACTTTTGGTATCATCATTGTTATCATCATCAACTTTCCTATAAAAATGAAAATTAACCATCAAAATGCTCTAATTAACTAGATTAATAGAAAATTTATTAGTAGAAAAAAGATAGGATATGATTACATGAAATATTTTGAGTACTTCCTCCTAAGCTTGTAATATATGATGACGAAATATATCTCCCATGAAGGCAAAGTAAACTTTGACACTCCTAAACTCCTTGATGGCTTGCCATAAGCTTTAGTACTCCAAAAATAAAAAAATACAACTGCATCTGAAGTCAACAAAGCTATCACTATGGTATATAAGCAACTACTTAAAACCTGAGTTGAGATAAAATTGAAGTTGTACAAGTATTTGAAAAATAAAAATTACTTTTGGTATCATCATTGTTATCATCATCAACTTTCCTATAAAAAATGAAAATTAACCATCAAAATGCTCAAATCCACTAGATTAATTAAAAATTCATTAGAAGAAATAGATAAGAAATGATTACATGAAATCTTGTGAGTCCTTCCTCCTAAGTTGCTAAGGTACATATACCACAAGGGACATCCCAACACGAACTCCAAAAAGGAGCATGAACCTCAAATAGTAGGGAGATGATTTAAGGTAAAATTCAACAAAGCACAACAATAAAATGACCACCTCATGAAGTTTAGTAAAATTGTACTTTTATCACTATTGCTAATAAAAGATTTGAAATAGTTTGATCCCAAAAATCTTTCACATAATAATAAGTAAAACCCTAACTAATCTTATCCTCAAGGTCTCTTATGGAAATGCCTAATAGGAGGGGCGGCTCATATTGATCAATTTAAAAAAGATTACCAATGCAAAAATGAGTTAAAGAAGTCTCTATAAGAAGACATCACTAGAACATTCATTGAAACAAAGAAGTTTATACAAAAGTAAATAATAATACACTGTAGTAATCATAGTCCATGAACAATAATTCTTAACTTTCAAGTCGAAAAAAATAAAATTATCAAAATAATTTATGAAATTTGGAAAATATTCTTTCATGACATTCATGAAATAAGTTACCGATACTCTTAAATGCTTGGCATAAAGCATATTTATGGTGTTTTTAAAATCTTACAAAATTATTTATGAAAAGTGAAGCCACAACAACAGTAAAAAATATTGAATAACACATAAGAAGTTTGTTAAATAAGGTTATGGGAATTAAAGTATAACTATTATATAGAAGGAGAATCCCAAAGAGATGAAAAAAAAAAAAAAAAAAAGAGAAACTTCAATTTTTAATTATAAGATATGTTGGTTCCATCTTATATAGATTTAGTGAAGTTGCTCAAATTTTCTCCAAGTTTAGCAAACTAATCAACACAATGATTTCCTTCACGATGTATATAAGATGTTTGTTATTCAAATTCCAAAAATAAATTATGAGTATCTTTAAGTGAAAAAAAAACTTGAGAAGTTGATGATAGATCAACAAAAAGCTTTAAGACTAGATTAATAATAACTGCAATGTCTCCAATCCAGTTTTTCTTAAAATGAAGAGATTTAGTACGGTTTAAACTTAAACTAAGGACAAGAAATATTGTAAATATAATATTACATGGAGACAAGTGACCAACAAAAACCAATTATAAGTTGGCCATTTGCATTAAGAGTCAATCTCACATTCAAAGATTGTATTAGTCCCAAACCAATCAATATTTAATATAATAAGATCAGGGGGAGTCTTAATCAAAGTAACACAATAAGTTTAGGGCAATAATCCTTAACCAGATTAATATCACGACTTTACATCATCCAATTGCATGCCTTACAAGCTTTATATTTAATTTACTTTGATTTAAATATCAATTTACTTCTTTGTTTACTAAAATTAATAATTCTCAAATAGTTCATACGAATTACTTTATGCTTGAAATAATTTTTTTTCATACAAATAACCCAATATATGAAAGTGGGATATTAGCTTTAAGATGGCCTTTGTTGGTGTCCATATGGGGAGAAATACATGCATTTATAAAAAATCACAACCATTAAGTTTAGGGTAAAGAAGGGATACTTTGAAAATGTTATCCAACCATTTCGAAAGTATTGAAGCAATAGGGCCATCAACAAAAACATGGTTGACATCCTTACTATGAACACACCATTGATATTTGAAAGAGAGACATAATCCATTTTTCCATAATGAACACTCTATATGTATGTAGCTATGAATGCTTTTCCAACAAAAAAAATTACGACCATAAAAGTATCATCTTGTCTTCATAATCTAAAAATCTCGAATGATTACATTATTATCAATATCATTAAATATTATTCTCAATGTAAGTGACCAAGATATCATTCATCCATTGATCTTTAATTATATTATGTAGTCAATTTTTTATAATTTTTATAGCAGAAAAAATCCTTTCAACAGTTGCTGTAGGAATATATAAAATTAATGTTAGCTTCAATAGCTTAAAAATAAAATGATATAATATGATATTTTCTTTGTTTGAATTATTTATTCTGCTAGAGTTTCAATGTATTTAAATATGAAAATTTTACATCAAATCACATATTTATAATATAAATTTCTATTTGATTATAAAAAAATACAATTGAATTAAATTGCATTATTTTGATTAGCTTATCTTTATCGAATGAAGTGAATGAATATGTTGGATTTAAACTTGTCATATACAAAAATAAATTTTTATTTGCTTCTGTAAAATGATTATTCGATTCTTGAAGTTGCAAATTAATGACTCTAAAATATTTCAATTAGAAAATGTTGTAAATTTTTTATATCTACAACTCCAAGATCTCTTGGTTTTCTTCATACCTTATAATTTATATATATTTTTATTTTCTAATGCTTTTAAGATCTTCACTCTTTATTTATTTATTTTTTATGAGTTGATCATGATGTTTACATGAGACACTAATAAAATTGATCAAATTTAAAATCATATTGAATAATATGATGATTTGAAGATACTTTTTAGCAACAAATACTAAAACTAATTGAAGTTGTTGTGAAAAATAGTGAAAATACATAGTAGATTTACTTTCATTCAAGATTAATGCTCTTAACTTATTAAATTCTCCTCTTATATTGCTGACTCGATGATAACCTTGATCACATTGAAATATTTAAATCGTAGATTGACAAAAGTTGCTCAGTTGGTTTTAAGAGAATTAGCCAATGTGTCCAAAGTATGTGCATTACATAAAAAATACTCAATAATTTAACTTTGCATATTCACATAATGTAACTTGATACTTATTTGTTATTTTGGAGGTAAATATTATGGATTTTATCAACTAAAATTAAAAAGAAACTATCTTTATGTTCTTCAATATAAAAACATACTCAAATATGACTGCACCAGGGAAGGACGACTTAGTCCTAATTAATTTTTACTGACACTCATCTGTACCAAATGAGTGGATAATATATATTATTAAATATTCTTAAACAAACCTTTTCATTTCAACTCATCAAATATTTATTGATAGTAAATATAAACAGAGAAGAATGCATAACAAATCATTAAGTAAAATATAGAGCTTTTAAAATACTTAAATATAAAATCATACGTACCCCATAAGTTTTCTAAAATCACCAAACTTTTTACATTCAAAGGCTCTATAAAATGACACACCA